CTCACAGTCTGAAGCAACAAATACATAAAAGTAATGTGGTCAGCATCCACCATTGGGACAGAGAACAAACACATGAGTTCTTAACTCATTAAAAATGTGATTTTGTGGGGGTTTTTGACATAAAAGGGACATAAAGCAGTTTCTTCTAAAACTTATGACTCTTCAGGAGGGCTTATAAATGCCTAATATGTAACTAAATGTAAAACAGAGCTCGATCTTCATTTTGAATTCATTATTATTTTAGCTCTTTGGATACAGATATGTTAATCATTTAGGTGAAATTGACAAAGTAAGATTTATCAGTCTTAAATTTACTTATCTTATGTCATCTGCTTTCAAGACTGAGAATACCAAGAATATCTATAGTAGTTTTCAGGGCTCACCAGGATTCCCCTTTCTTGGCACAATGCCTAGAAACCTGTACCCCCTGTCCTAAATCTGGAGTCATCAGTGTTCCAGGGAAAAAGAGAGCCTTGCAGATAGTCTCAGGATGAGATCACCCTCCTGAGCAAAACCAATCACCTTGCTATTCAAGGAATAGGATTCCTCAGGAGCTGCATAACCAGGGCTGACTGATGGCACTCAACCCAGCCCACTAACGCGTCAAATGAGCCAGCCTGGCACTCTCCTGAGGCCCCTGTGCCTTGGCTTTCTCAAACTAAAGCCTTTTCCTATCTTCCCTTAGTTTCCTTTGTTATGAGACTGGCTTGATCTTTGTCATAAGTGTGCTTCGCTTTATTTTTCTTACTTTTGAGTTAAAGTACTTCCCTATAAATTCACACTGTTGCTTTAGTTTTAATGCAAGTCTGCATGCTAGCTGGTGACAAAACACTTATGGAATTGCTTCTTATGGAATGAATCTTGTACCTACTGTTGCCTAATTATTTACGTTAAACCAGTCTTTCTTCTTCTTTGTTTTTTCCAAGTTTTTTTTTTTTTTTAATAATGAAAGAGGAATGTGACAAAATGACTCTATGTTTGTGTATTGTATGGAAAAACAGAACCTGGAACAGAAGAGCCTACATAGTCAACAACGATCACAATTTCTGAGCTGTAGACTGACGTACACTCATTACTCACCATGCTAAAGAGTCACTGTTCATTTTACTCCTCTGCTTACTAAACTCACTAATTGTATTTGAAACTCTGTCTGTGTTAGTGGCCATTACTCACTAACTTGTCTGCCCCAACCAGTGTGTCTACTTAAACTTTTACCATGATAGCGAAGGACTTTTCTGAATCAGTGTGAGAGAGCATGAGGATGGATTTCAGTTGAATATTGCTCACAGTTGTGCCTTCGCTATAGTGTGCAGACAAAACTCTGCAATGAGGAACAGTTTAGAAAGCAAGGAGGAAGGAAATGTTGGAAGAACTTTGACTTTTATAACACCTCAAAGATTGTTCTGGTTCTCTGACCTGTACCTGAGTTATGATGACTCAAGGGCATAAACTGTCAGTACATTCATGAGAAAATGAAGACTGAAAGGTGATCTTTTATCTTCACCTGTTACTATAACACTGAATTTCTATCTGACTAATCCCACTAAGTGAAGAATAGAGACAGAAGCTCCGAAATGAAGACATGCTATTCAAAATCCTGTTGGGAAGAAAGGGAAAAGGACAGTCCAGAGTAGCCAGTGACCACAAGGAAAGAGTAAAGACATGCTATATGTGGAGGTTGGCATTCTTCAGGGAGCACACCAATGACAGATTCTGAGAACACAGAATACAAACCAAGCAGCTTGGACAAAGAGAGACTGTGTGTAACCATTGTAAAGGAGGCTGCCTTACCTATCAAACCAAACAATCAGAGAGAAAGAGACAGAAGTGGTTTAGAATGTCATAATATTCATTTAATTGGAACAGTGCCAGGAAGGTAATTAATTTAAAACCAAAACAATCTTGTCACTGAATTTATATTAATTCGTTGTTTTTATCTGCATTAATGGAAAACGGCTCACACAGGATTCCAAATACTGAGTCTGAGGTAAGGAAGGAGAATTAACCACCAAGACTAGGTAGTATTTTAAAGCAAGTTCTTTGCCAAGAAAGCAAAATGAACTCAAATGAGGAGCCGTAATTTGCTCTTCTCAATGACATGTTTTGACTTGTGGCTCTGCTAAGTTTCCCAAATGCTTTGAGGTCTTTGCTGTTTGTCAAATCATGGAAAATTTTAAGATTTCACTTAGCAAGATACCCTTGAGATGAAAGCAATGCCTTTGAGTCCTGAAGAGACTAGCTAATTGATCTGGCTTACTCACTTCATAGGATGCCAATTTCTTTTACTTTCTACTTGGCTAATACACTGGGAGAGCAAGAGAGGTAGACTAATAGATAAACTCATAGAAGAAAATGATAATCTAGTGGTTAAGACTTAAGGAGACCTGAATCTGACTGTTTGGTTGTGATTTCCAGTTTTGCTGCTTCCTTGCTGTGTAAATTGGGGCAATATCTATCTTACAACTCTCTTGCCTTGCCTACCTCCCATTCAAGATGGAGCCTACAGAATCTATCTCCTGGGGTTTTATGAGGGTTGAATGTGATACCGCATACCCAGTGTTTAACATGATATCAGGCTGTTGTAGTTTGGACGCTGAGTGCCTCCCAAGGGTTCATGTGCTAAAGGCTTGATCCCTATCTGGGATGGTGCTACTGGCAGACAGGGGAAACTTTAGGAGGTGGGAACTTATGCAGGTCCGTAAGTCACTGGGAACATGTTCTCGCAAGGAATTCTGTAACCCTGCTGGCCCTCTCCTCTGTTTACTGGCTCATGAAGTAAGTGGTTTACTCTGCCTCTGTGATTTGCTGCCCTTGTAAGAGATTCAAGGTCACACGTTTCCTGGTCTTGGACTGAAACCTTCAAAATGTGAGTCAAGAAAAATTTTTCCCTTTATTGCTTAATTACCTCAAGTATTTCATTATAGTGACAGAATATCATCTAACATACAGATAAACAGTTAAGTACCCCAAATGTTGTTGTTATAATATATGCATGTTTTGCTGTTTTATTTTGAGAGGGATTTCACTACCAGACTTCAAAGGCAGACCTCAAAACTGCAATCCTCCTGCTTCAGTCTCTGAAATAGCTAGAATTGCTGCACTGGGCATGTATTCAAATATCTTCATTGACTAAAAGGCAGCACAACACTGTATGTTGATATTCTTGCTCTTGTAAAGCGCAAAATCATTCCTAGAGTCCTAAATTCATCCAATTCCAAGAATCTCCAGATTTCCTAAAAATGTAACCAGAACTTCAGTGGTAAAAAGACAAGAAGCTGTCTATCAGCATTCTTCATTTTCCAAGCTTTCGGCACCCAAATAGCTTTATAGAAAGAACCAATAGAATTAGTCCTTAAATATAGACTCAGGTTTTTGTATATTTAAATATTTAAAACTTTAAGAAAATATTAAATATTTCTTATTTTCTTATATATAACATACAATTTTTTTATAATTTTCAAATTATAATTTTACTTTAAAATAGCATATATTTAGTTTTTTCATTTTTCCTGTATGATTGAAACCTCTAAGAGCATAAAAAGCTGGCCATTTCTAGGGCACATACCATTTTCAAGGACTGTTTATGCTCTCACATTTTAACATATCTTTAAGATTGAAATTTATAATTTATATGTCATATTAGGAAAACTAAAGTATCAAGAATGGTTTATAGAATTAGTTTCTTAATAACTTTAGGGATAATATTTTGACTGTAAGGAACCTAGAAAATCAGAACTTCTAAAGAGAGATTTCTAAATTTGCCTGATGATGGCTTTGTAGCGGTTTTTAGGAGCATCTGACATTGAACCCTAGAGGAATAGGAAGAGACTGGTTTGGTCACAGATATCTCTACCCCTGACTCTCCAAATACTGCTGGTTAGGAGGAGAATGTGGTGAGAGGTAGTGCTTTCTGCTCTGAAGTCACCACACAAACTGAAAGCTACCGGTAATTTAACAAGCCCTTACTATTTTTTTGAATGAATCATTTATATTTGCTGCCCAGTATCAATCAGACTTCTTCAATTTCATAATTTCACTTAAACTCTTAAGGAACCATTGCTTCCTCTTAAACTCTTAAAACTCCACTCACTTGTCTAACTTGTTCCAAAAATTCCTGTCAGAAATTTATAGTTACTGCTGAGGAGTAAGCTTGTCAGCTGATATTAAATCACATTATTTTGAATGAAACATAGCTTTGGATTGCTTGCATGGTACCAGTCCAGAAGTCTTTACTATGGCAAAAGTGATCAGCTATCCAGTGAAATGTATCTTGTTTTTAGGAGCCCAGATACAACACATTTCCCAGACTTTCATATTATAAGTGAACCTTAAGGTCAAGTTCCACACTGGAAATAAGCAAAAGTGCTATGATTGGGTTGGGGATTTTGAAAGATAAGCTCTGCCTGTTCCATGTTCTTTTCTACTTTCTACTAGAAAAATAGGAGTCCACCAGTTCCAAAGAGACTTTGTTGACGATGCAGACCTATGAGCAACTTTTTCAAACTGCATATGGAAAAGAAATCTTGCAAGGAGGAACTAACCTAGGTGGATGTATGATGAAGGACTGAGCTTATACTACATTTAAACTATGACATGGTGGGTCTGTTTATTAAAGCCATTTAGTACATCAGACTACTAAGCATCTATATTTTAAAATTACACTTTCTTATGAAAGTGTATGGAAACAGAGATTGCTTAATTTCACTTTAGTTCCTTTTATTTTGTCAAAGACACTTTTACCTGCATCGTTGTTCAGGGTGTCACGATAACCTTTGAAAACCAGTAACTGGAAAGATATGTCTGCACTTTGTAAAACTGTACTCCAATAAGATAACTCAAAAAGATACCACTTCAAATAAGTATATAGTTCAAATATGTTGGATTACACAATACAGAGTTCCATAGGCCGCAGTTAATGATAAACATACTTCAAAGATTTGCTTTTGTCCTTCAAATTACCAATAAGAAAGTGGTTCTGTTAACATGCTAATTATTCTTACCTGCTAAGGATGACATATTAATAATGACTCCACCTTCACCTCCATGTTGTTTACTCATGTAATCCAAACCAAGATAGGTTCCACTGATAACAGAAACCTAGTCCAGAGGCAGAAATGAGAAAAACAATGTAGCCATTAACTTTTATCATATATTTAAACGGTAACTTTATTAATGCTATTGCAGACACCTTCTCTCTTGTTTGCCTAAGAATTGTGTGGTTTGTCACGTCTCCACAAAACTTTACTTAGCTTCCCAATACGAAACATTATGATAAAACCTATATTGCAGTGTTTTGCCATTTTAAATTAATTCTCAATATCTGCAAGAATTGTACACATTCTTTTTTCTTTCTAAATAAGAGATGCAAATGTTATTTACCTCATCTCATTGTCAAGTATTCCATATTTGTCACACTATTAATTCTAGAGGATTTTAGAATATAGAATGGTAGGTACCCTTAATTTTCAACATGATTTTCATTTTTTCTTCTTTTCTTTCTAATACAATTTAAACTTTGTTTTTCTCTCTGCATCTTTTCCATTTTATAGCAGTCTAGAGTGGTCTCTCACTTTAGTTTAGCACGGATTAAAAAATTTTAAGAGAAAAAACAGAAAAATAAAAAGCAAACAAAAACAACCACAACAAAAGCAAAACGATGATGACAACAACAAAACCAACAGAGATACAGGATTTCAAACCAGGTGACAGGAATTTAACATTGGTTGTTATACAGCACATTGTTATCTTCAAAACAGTTGCTCAGGTTATCAGATACAGGCATGTACAATTGATCAAATAATATAATTTCCCTCTGAGCAGCTTGTTTTCCTTTTATTGTATCTATTGTAACTTTTTGATCTTATTTACTGTTTCATTTTTTTATATTAGCAAGACAATATGTTGTTTACACATGAAAATCTGATTTATTTCACTTATGAGTATGGTTCCTAGTTGTATAAAAGCCTAGACTTTATTGTTCTTTATAGCTAAGTAATATTCCATTATATAAAAGTTTAACACCTTTTTAAATCCATTTTGCAGTTGATGGGCATTTGGGTCGTTTCCAAGATCTGGCTATTACAAATTGTGCAGCTATAAACATGAGTGCACATATGTAGCTGTGGTATGATGTTTTAATTCTTCTGGGAAAACACTCAGAAGGTGAATAGGTGGGTCCGATGGAACCCCTAATTCTAATTTTTTGAGGAATCTCCACACTGATTTCCACAGTGGTTGCACCAGTCTACATCCCACCAACAATGGAAAAGGGTTCGTTTTTCTGCATAGCCTAATCAGAATTTATTATTGGTTGATTTCTTGATGTTAGCCATTCTTTCTGGACTTAGATGGCATCTCAGTGCTGCTTTAATTTGTATTTCTTTAGCGATCAATGATATTGAACATTTTCTTATATTGCCATTTGTATTTATTCATCTGAGAACTGTGTACTCATCTCAGATGCCCATTTTTGGACTGGATCTCTGAATTTGGAGGGCCTGATATTTTTTTCAGTTTCTATACATTCTAGATAGAAGTCCTTTGTCTGAGGGACAGTTGTCAAAAAATTTTCCCAGTCTGTGGACTTTCTTTTCATTCTGTTGGGTATTTCTTTCAATGTGCAAGAACTTTTTAATAAGATGGGATCCCATTTGTTGATTCTGTGAAATTTTTGCCATGCAGTTTGGTTTTTGTTTATGAACTCTTTGCCTATCCCTACGTCCTTGAAATTTCTACCTACTTTGTCTTACAGAAGATTTTGTGTTTCTGTTTTAATATTTAGACTTTTGATCCATTTTTACTTTAGTTTAGTGCATGATGATAGGCATGGTCTTTGGCACATAGAAAGTTAATTTTCCCAGCACCGCTTATTAAAGAGGCTGTCTTTCTTCCAGTGAACATGTTTGCCCATTTGTCAAAGATAGGTGGCTGAGTGTCTTTGTAGTTGTGTCTGCATCTTCTATTCTGTTCCACTGATCCTCAGGTCTGTTTTCATGCTGATTTTATTATAGCAGCTTTGTCTCAGAAATCCTATTCTCCTCTCTGATGGCTGCTTTAGGAACCAATGAATGACCCAGTTCTGGCTATTGAGACATAAGAACAATCAGCTGGAGCTGCTGTGTGAGGCCCAGGGAGGGTGCTGATTGAAATGGAAATTTCGCTACATGGTGAAGATGAAACCAACAGAAAAAGACAGCAGGTGGGTGACATTAAAAGACACTCAGTCCTAATGATATCACTAATCTTCACTGTCAGATGGACTCTTGTTTGAAATCACATTACTGCTTCATCTTGTTTAGTGGAAATTTTCTGTTAGGCGATCTACAATAATGTGCATTATTTAATTTGTGCTAATCACTGCTTACTGCTCTCCTTAAAACTAGTTTATTGTTTCCCTACTTCTCTTATGTCTTACTTCTCTTCTTCTCTTCTTGCTTTTACTCTAACGTTTAAGAATTCACTACTACACAAAACGATGTACTAGTGTGAGCTGAAACTGATATTCGAAACCTCAATTTCTTTTTTATATTCAAAATTCCTCTCTTCCAACTCAGAGTCTTTAAAAGTGAAAATTCCCTTTTGATTTCTTCATTCCTACTTTTTCATTCTGTACTATACTCAAAGAGAATAATTTACTAGCGGTGAGTCTGATGCTGAGTGTGCACACTGGTGCTTACTTTTTATTTTAAAAGGTTTTTTTTTTTGCGGGGGGGGGTATGTGATGAGTGTTCAGAGGTCCCGCACTTCCTAATAATAGCTCTAGAACCAAAAAAGTAAATTGAAAATATTATTCATTTAAGCCACATGTCAGTTTGATATTTCTAGGCTTATGGAGAATGAGTAAAATCTCCACATAATTCCCATTAAAAAGGAAAAAAGAAAGCACTGTTTATATCAGAAGAAAAATGTAGATATCTGAATACCTCAGTCAGGTACATCTGAGTGTCCTCCCAAGCCTTCAGCAAGTCGGGACAGAATTAAAATATTTTTCTTGTTCACTATCAGTCTAGACACTGAATGATTTTTCAAGTGGAAGAGTTCATGAAATAAATCCACAAAGCAAGTCTCAAGCTTTAGTTATATATAAATTATTTTGTTTTCAACTTTTTTCCTTTTAACAGCTCTCTTTGTATCAGATTTCTACTGTGAGAAAACCAGGCAATAAATATTTCCTATTAACAGATTCTTTTGTCCTTAAACAATGTTACATAATTTTAACACTGGGAATTGATATCACACATCAGAAAAAGAGAAAATTACAGATATTTCTAGGTACAAACATAAAATAATTTGAATCTATATTATTATTTTATTTTATGGAGGTACCTAAAATCCTATACTGTAATTGATTAAAAATCCTATGTCTTTATTCACATGATTAATGAAAAAGGCAATTCTTCAGTTTATTTAATGATCAAATAGACACATACTTAATGCTTTTAGTTATGAAGCAATAGCATTTATATATAATTCTGAAGTGGTAATTGTGTTGTATTCCAAGTAGTAAATTATTTTTAAACCAATTATATCATCCTACAACAAAACCACACTCAAAATTTCTCTAGGCTGAGAATAATTTTATACTATCAGAAATAAATGGGCAAATGGTAATATCTTATTTGTTTAGCTATCTACTTATTAGGCATTATGTCTTCCTACAAAATATACACATGTACATGCATGTATAAGCACAATTTTTTCACTAATTAAATTGTCAATCTGTCATTTCTCCCTTTTTCCTATCTCATCTCCCTTTACTTTGTGGTTTCTTGTAGTTTATTTATGATTCTTTAGTGTCCTGTAATAAAAATAACTCTGACAGCTAAATTAAGCAATTTTGCCTTTTGGGATCCTTGTGTTTTCTTTAGTTCAATTCTCAAAGAATATTAAAAAGGTACCACTATTTTTTTTAACCTCTTTTCATCCTTTATTTTTTCATATTGAAAAGTGTTTCCTTTTGTTTGTTTTTGTTTTAGTGCTAAGTATCATTTATTTCCCCTTGATGGAACTACTTATTAGTAGTAACAATAGAGACAAATAGTTACTAATTTAATTTGCAATCACTATCTTTGAAAGTCAAGAAAATAAGCATGTTTAGGATCAATGTCTACCCATTTCCCTAAACCCTTATTAGAAGTCAAACACGGCAGAAGAACTGATATTAAAATGAGGCAATGAGAAAATGTAGGCTTTGGTACTTAGAAAGGAAACACAGTTGCACTGTACTGTGGTAGGTGTCTTATATTAAACTCAACAGTCTTTTGAGGTAGGGAGTTTATCTTCTCCCTGTAAACTGGGAAACTCAATATAAAAAAATTAGGTAACAGCCCACAAATAGTAGATTCAGGATTAAACTTTAGTTTGACTAATTCTAGATCTCTTCTTTTGAATAGATCTAATTAATCTCGATTAATACACCTAATTAATATATTTCTGAAAAAAATTACCAGCAATAGCTATGTTAATTTTTATTTAATGACACAAAAGAATTCAATATATGTTATTATTTGTCCAATTTAGATTATAGTTCTTGTCTGAATAGCTTTATTAAAGCTTCAAAGAATTAAAAATAAGAAAAGTACATTACACACTGCTTAGTGCATATTTAAAGTGAAGTCTACTTCTACCCAGTTCCCAGAGTGATCTTCAATAGTTTATAAAGACTTAGTCTTTTCTGGACATTCCTTGTGAGCTCTGAGCAGCTATAAGTAATAATGCTGCTATTGGGGTCAGACAAAGGAGGAAGCATAAAACGCTATAATGAAACAGAACACTGGGAAGGTTTGGTGCAACTTGTGTGGGGAAAGTGATGAGATCAGCAGTGTAAAGAGTCAGGAAAGAGTTTGGTAAATCATGAAAGTGGAAGAACAGCTGATACTGTTGGCTGTGCTAATCTATTAGGAAATCACCTAAACATTGTGCTAAAATAATGGAATAGATACGAATGTGTACAGAATATAATGCATATATGCATTTAAATCTTGAATAAACATTAATTGAACTTCTGGTCAATTAGAACACAGAACAGTAATTTTCTGCCCTGAAAATGTTTAAGGTATATTATCATAAATCACACACACACACCGAGGTTTTAAATT